GTCTCTGTCCTTCACGGAGACACCTGGACCAGTCTCTGTCCTTCACGGAGACACCTGGACCAGTCTCTGTCCTTCACGGAGACACCTGGACCAGTCTCAGTCCTTCACAGAGACACCTGGACCAGTCTCAGTCCTTCACGGAGACACCTGGACCAGTCTCAGTCCTTCACAGAGACACCTGGACCAGTCTCAGTCCTTCACAGAGACACCTGGACCAGTCTCAGCCCTTCACAGAGACACCTGGACAGGTCTCAGCCCTTCACAGAGACACCTGGACCAGTCTCAGCCCTTCACAGAGACACCTGGACAGGTCTCAGCCCTTCACAGAGACACCTGGACCAGTCTCAGTCCTTCACGGAGACACCTGGACAGGTCTCAACCCGTGAGCCTCCTAAACCCTCAGAGGAAGAGTTGTTGATGCTCATCAGTCTGGAGGAGGTGATAAAACCTGAACCTCAGAGACTGGTCCAGCAGCAGGTTCTGTGGTCCAGCAGCAGGTTCTGTGGTCCAGCAGCAGGTTCTGTTTTCCCGCACACAGGATCAGGATGATGGATTCTGGTTTTAATGACATCATCTCTACTGAACCCTATCAGGTTCTGACTGAGGAGCGTCGTGATCTCCTGCTTTCACTTCCTGTTTCCTGCTTCCTGCTGGGTCAGAGACACTCGGAGACATGCTGACCTGAACCAGCTGAAGTCCTGACTCACATTATTAGTTTGGCTGGTTTCTGTCCTCATGTTTGTCTTTTTATCAGTCTGGACCTGATCCAGACCCGACCAAGTCCTGATGAACCAGATGATTGACGACTGGAGTCTGACCTAACCACAAATAATACTCACAAGTACTCGTGTACTTTCAACCTCACAATGCTATTTAATACTTTTCCAGTTCTCTTAATAAGACAGGCAGACAGGTTTGGACAAAAGACCAAAAATCTGACTTTGATATAGATTTTGATTAAAAAAATATTAAATAAAAATACTGACAATCAGAACAAAGTAAACAAGTGAAGAACCTGAGACCTCAGTGTCCTGCTGCAGAGACTGAAGGTGGAGACAGACAGTGTCCTGCTGCAGAGACTGAAGGTGGAGACAGACAGTGTCCTGCTGCAGAGACTGAAGGTGGAGACAGACAGTGTCCTGCTGTCCGTTCATGTCTCTAATCTCTTCTCCCCACTCAGCGACAGTCCGGTCCAGAAACAGACCCTGGTCATTGGCAGCTCCATAGACCTAAACCTGGATTTATGGACACCAACGGCCATGACTAAATGTATTCCAGGAGCCAGAGCGGGTATCATTGAGTCCTATCTGAAGCTACTAGCTAATGCTAATGCTAATGCTAGGTACAGTAAGTTTGTGATTCACTCGGTTACATCAATCGGAGGTTACTAAAATTAACGTTGCTTCAGTCTGTAACTTTTCAAAGACGATGTCAGACTCTGTAGTTTTTTCTGGCCCCCTCCCTAACCTGACCAGTGATGACTTGTTTAGTCGCATGTCTTCATTTAACCACTGGGCATCTAAGTGGTGTTCTGAAAACAACGTTGACTACGTGGATAACTGGATTTCTTTCTGGGGGAAACCTGGTCTGATGCAGAGAGATGGCATCCATCCCATCCTGACTGGAGCCGTCGACCACAGAACTTATTGACAATCCAGGGTCCAGACTAGGAAGCAGAGTTGTAGTCTTACACACCTCTCTGCTGCTTCTCCTTTATTACCCAATGAATACAATTCATACCAAACTTCCTGTTACTGTCTCTGATTCTCTGTCAGATGAGGCAGCTTTAGTGTCACAACAACCTGATTTATGTCTGGACAGTTTTTGTCCTGTTGAGCTCTGAATTATCTAAAATAATAGTTTCATCCAAACCATCAACATGTCTGCTAGATGCCATCCCAACCAGACTGTTCAAAGAAGCATTTCCCTTAATTAATATTTATATTTTAGATGTACTTAATTTATCTTTAATAAATGATTTTGTGCCGCAGAGCTTTAAGGTTGCTGTAATTAAACCTTTACTTAAGAAACCTGATGTTGATTCAGGAGTTCTGGCCAACTACAGACCTATATCTAATCTCCCAWTCATCTCAAAAATTCTGGAGAAATTAGTTGTAAATCAATTATGTGAACATCTGGATAGAAATAATCTATATGAGGAGTTTCAGTCAGGGTTTAGAGCTCATCATAGCACAGAAACAACACTGGTTAAAGTTACTAAGTGGACTTGTGTCCATTCTTGTCCTGTCAGATCTCAGTGCTGCATTTGATAAAGTTGATCACAACATTTTATTACGTAGACTTGAACTTGATATTGGGATTACAGGAACAGCTCTAAAATGGTTTGAGACTTATTTAACTGATAGATTTCAGTTTGTTAATGAATCTTCTTCTAACACCAGAGTTAGTCATGGAGTTACTCAAGGTTCAGTGCTTGGACCAATCCTCTTTACTTTATGCTTTCATTAGGTAAAGTTATTAAACAGCATGGGATAAATTTCCATTGTTATGCTGATGATACTCAGTTATATTTATCCATGAAACCTGATGAAT